ACTTTTCAGGGATTTGCTTGAATCCAGTTTTGAAGAATCTACTTTTTAATGAGAGGTTGCACAACTCTCCACAACTTCTTCTCAAAAAGCTATAACGTTTTGAAGTTCCCTAAAAACGGTAACGCATTCAGCTTTCCAGTAGCAGAGTTACGCTGCACGGCCGAAGATATACTTCCTTTTACCTGCTCACATCTTGTTTAATTAATGTTTAAAAAAGCTACTTTGATGCATTGAGATTAAAATTTTAGATTATCCTAGGAAGGATTAAGCTGATGTTTATATGGTTTCTGCATGATATACGAACACCTGACGACAGATTACTTTTTTTTAACTGTTTTCATTGCTTCTCCAAGCAAATATCGAGCGTGCAAAAATAATGGTGAAGTGGAAGTTTCAGAAAGCTTTTTTTTACTGCTTCTGTATTTTGGTAAGCATCCAAATGTCTTCGGTTTATTTATCTTGTGCTTCTTCTTGAGTATGTGTTTGTCTATTGATTATGTAAAGTGATGAATGATAAGGGAACAGGAAAGAAGGAGACGTGTGTTTTGTGTCACAACACAGTTCTTAATGAAATAAAAAACAAAATAGAAAGAAAAAAAGGAGAGTCAACTAAGAAACATTGGCCCATTTTTGAAGAAACTTGATCGTAATTTAATTATAAATCGAGCATTCTTCAGGTAAATAATTTCAATATGTTTCTATTGATGATTTAAAATATATTCGAAAATTCTTCCAAATTTTATATATAGATTCGTTTTGATAATTGTGTTATCTTTGATTCAGACTTATACTTTTTGAAGATTACTGTGTATTTAATAGTACGAATATTGAAGATGTTTTAGATAGTTAAAAATAATATCACTTTTATTAACTTAAGTTTTCCAGGTAACCTCATGCGTGATCTTTCTAATTCTATATTAAATAGGATTATTAATTTACTTTGCCAGATATTGGATCACACTGACGTTACAATTATTATTTATGTTCAGTATGGAATAATAAAGCTTAAATTGAATTTAAACTTAGATTACCTTTTAGTACAGTCTATGCTTTAAGGTTTTATGTATTTATTTATTTTTTAACTTTGTTGGAGCGTAATTAGAACGTCATGAACATTGTCATGTGATCGACTTTTCCGTTAGGGAATACTCAGTCTGTAAATGGCTGTACTTTTAACTTTCTAAATTTCCCGTTGATTAATGATTGATCTTAAGTAGTTTCTAATGCTACCGTTCGATAAATCCTGGAGTTTTCTTTAAACACTCTGGATTTGCCAGTGACATTAGACAAAGTTACTTTGTAGAAATCGTTCGGAGGAAGTATCTCAATGCATTGAAATTAGCTGAGATGTCGAGGAAAATTTTTATCATCTTTCATAGATGACGTCAACAATTGATACAGAAAAACTTATTTATCTCACTGTGATCTAGTTCATATCGAAAATTTGAAAAAATAAGAACGTTTGAGTCAAGAATAGTCATCAATAAGCTCTATCACTTTTTCTTTGTACACCTTTTACATAAAAAAAATTAATTTTCTAATTATCATTCAGGAAACGAGCAGATTTTTTATAATCCTTAGCATTTCAACTAGCAAATTGGACTATTATGCAAAAATTGAAATAGAAGAATTTCTGTATGATTAGACGATGCTATAAACATGTATATTGAAAACAATTCCAATTCAAAGACGATTTAAAACTGAAAAAGATTTCTATTTCATTAATTTTAATCAGATATTCTATTAAATTGAGCTGCATTGCGTTTCTTTCTTTCCATTTTTGCATTATGAAAATTTTTTTAAAATGACCGATTTTTTTTACTACGCAGTTATTATATGATTGTATTATATTTTTATTTGATAGTTGTACTTTTTTCTTCTCTAAAACCACAAATTGTTGATAGGATTATAAGTTCGAAATGTGCTAGTATGAGAAAAAAAGCCTGTGTCTAAATTTAACAATTTTGCTCTCTGCACGTATTGAATAAATTTCTTTTGTGTCATATCTAAAATTCCATACACGAACTCTTTTTTATCTTGATTGTATATTTTTTATTGAATATAAATGAAAAATAGCTCATGGTTCACAATCAGAGGAACAGGATGCTAGTTCCTTTCAAAGAATTTTGCTCTTTTTTCTCCAGTGACTTTCTGATGAAAATCAATAAACCTCTCATTTATTCGTTCAAAAAATACTCGAGAAGCTCGAAATAGCTTTCAGTTTTATATCTATCTACGCCTTCTTTATGATTTTATCAGTGTATAATTGGTTAATATATTTTGTAGCGGCTTGTCTTTACTATGAATAATCTCAGCTGAAAAACTTTAATTAATGAGAAGGTAAATTTTGCAACAAAAAAAACCTATCGTGCATTATTTTCTTACACACGTCTCTTTTTCATCAGAGATTTTTTAGAAAATAAATGAGTTAAAGTAACATGAAAATAGGTGTGACATCGAAAAAAAAATAAGTGTACTACTAGATTAATTTCATAGTTTTAGTGCTCGATTCCAACAACTGTGTAGTGTTGTCTTATGCTTTGTTTTCCTTCTGTTCTATCGTAATTTCTCTCCACAAAATATATACAGCTTTTCTGTTCTGCATATGTAATCATTCTCTAAAAGCACGTGCTGATCTATACTCGTTTCATCCACTCGATACTGTATCATGTACCTCTTTCTCTCTACCACACGTGTCTCTACTCTATAATATCTACTCTGTCTTCTGACTCGTCACAGAGTATACAGACTTTGATTAGTACGGCGATGGGTAATCGCGTATGAAGTTCAATGTTACAAGCTGTATGGGTTGAGCAGTAGGGGTAGAACACACTATAGCAGTGCACAGGATGAGGAATCGAGCACCAAGTTTACTTTTGGATAATTTTGTTCAAAAGTAAAATTGATACTTTAAAAGTCATAATTTTAGTGTTTGATTTCAACAACTGTGTAGTGTTGTCTTGCGCTTTGCTTTACTTCTGTTCTATTCTAGTCTCTCTCTCTCTCTCTCTCTCTCAGATGAAACAAAACATGGCTTCCAATTATATAAAATAATAACAGTTATTGGTGGTCATCAGCTTCATATTTTCATATTATTTTTCATGCATTTATGACAAATATGCCTGTACGACGAGACATAGCAAAAAGACTTCTTACAATATTTGTTAGTTAGTTTCTTCTGTTTGTAGTGTTCTACATTAATTATATATGACCTGATGTAGTAAAACAAAATAAATGTTTAAAGACATGAAATATGAAACAAATATATCATCAATAATAAATCAGTACACTTATTAAAATCATTCCGTTATAAATAACAAATAATAATAAAGTAAGTTTGTATCTACAGATCATGTCTTAGTTACTCTCAATGTAGAATCAAAATAATTTTGTCTCTAGGTGTCCTTGATTGTCAACAATTGTAGAGATTACAATCGTGACAACTTGTCATTTTTTTCATAAAGTACAAAAAATAACTTTTTCTAAATAGTTTTCTTTCTAATATTTTTTATTATTATTATTTGTTCTTTACTACAAGTTAAAAAGAGAGAAATTTATGGATTCTTTTTATGCTTAAAAAATACGGTTTTTATCACAACAGTATTTGCTAAACGCTTACTAGAACACGTTACGAGATGGATCATTTTACAAGAAAAAAAGTTTTTATTTTAATATCTACTTGAAAATACCTACTGTGAAAAAAAAAACAGTCCATTGTTTTAATCATCGAATTATACTTCTCTCTTCTTATACGAAATTACTGGGCGTAGGTGATTTTTAAATTCAATTTTTTCAATTTTTGTTATGTTGTCCTTGGCTTTGTTTTGTTCTGTCAACATATTGAGCAAATGTTATTTCTCTCTCTCTCTCTCTCTCTCTCTCTTTTCTCTCTCTCTCTTTCTCTCTTTCTCTTTCCGAATGTCGATTAGAAGTACGTCTGCTAGAAAAAAAAAAAGAATCTCTGTACAGTCAATTACTGGTTCCCTCAGTTACGATTTTTATTTATAAACCGAATGCTCGAGGAAATAATTGCAAACCAATTTTATAAACTAATAGTGGTTGGACACGCATGGTAACATTTTGCTACAATTTTGAGAATTTTTTAGTTTCCTTATTGATTTCTTTTATTTCGATTGTTCTTAGATCCATGTGGAAGATAAGCTATTATTGTGTGTGTGTATGTCTTCATTTTATATAGATATTTTTTAATCTACTAGAGTATTTCATTCAATTAACTGATGTTATTTTTTTATTTATTAATTTTTTTTATAGACGGAGTGTAATAATAACAAAAAAATTTGTAAATAACCACAAATCAATAATTATTTTGTCTTCCAAATTATGAATGCCTCTAATCGTCGTCACTTTATCCATGTGTGCTGCTTTGTTGTATTTTTATTTATTTTCGAAATATTAGCCGGTGGAATTGTCATTTTTTCATTCACTGATAAATCTTCTCCATCTATTGATCCTGTTCAATTATATGGTTTACCGTTAACAATATTCATCTATTTTGTTCGTTTATTATCGTTATTACCTTTACCATTAGTTTTATGTCATACATTTGGTTTGTTATTTTACAATGTTTTTCCTGAACGCCCTGATCTTCATAATTCTCCGCTATTAGCACCTTACATTTGTATTAGAGTTGTTACACGCGGTGATTATCCAGATTTAGTTCGTACAAATGTTAAACGTAACTTGGACACATGCTCAAAAATTGGTTTAGATAATTTTATTGTAGAAGTTGTTACCGATAAATTAATTAATCTGAATACAACATATTCACAAAAACATATTCGAGAAATAATTGTACCAAAAGATTATCGAACAAAGACGGGTGCTTTATATAAATCACGTGCATTACAATATGCACTTGAAAAAGATGTAAATGTATTACGAGACCAAGATTGGATTGTTCATCTTGACGAAGAAACATTATTGACAGAGAATAGTTTGCGTGGAATTTTAAATTTTGTTAATGACGGACAAAATTCAATAGGACAAGGATTAATAACTTACGCAAATGAAAATATTGTAAATTTAGTAACAACATTGGCTGATAGTATGAGAGTCGGAGTCGATATGGGATGCTTAAGATTTTGTCTTAAACAACTTCATAAACCACCGTTCTTATTCAAAGGATCATTTGTTGTTTGTCAAGCAGCATGTGAATTAAATGTCACATTTGATAATGGAAAAGCGGGCAGTATAGCTGAAGGTAATGAGATAAACTCTCGTCCAAAATACAATAAGAATAGTTGTCTTTTTGTTTAAGATACATATTTTGCAATGTCTGCAATGGCAAAAAATTATCGATTTGGATGGATTGAGGGTGAGTATTGTTAACTGCTTGAAAATATACGCTAAAGAAATTTTTTATTTCTATTTTATTCAGGAGAAATGTGGGAAAAATCACCTTTCACAATATGGGATTTTTTGCAACAACGTAAAAGATGGCTTCAAGGAATACTGCTTGTTGTACATGATAGAAAATTACCATTGCGCGTTAGATTTTGTTTAGGTATGTTACATCAAATATGAGCTTAAGTTTGAGCCTTCGAGTTCAAAAAGGTCAAGTTCAAATTTGAATTTAAAAGTGTAAGTTTGAACTTATGCACAATTATGCTCACATCTAGCATTTAATTGATGATTTAGTATTCCATTTTTTAAACACTAATTAAACCTGAAAATTCGGTTTTGCTACATCTTTGGATTCATGAACACTCACGATCGATCAATAAAACTTGTATTTCATTGAATTCTAATTTGTTTTTTTTTAGGTATTGCATTGTATTCTTGGATAACTTTACCATTGACATCATCAAATGTTGTTTTAACTCCGTTATGTCCAATACCATTACATTGGTCATTAAATTTTATAATTGGTTATGTTGGAGCAGTAAATATTTATCTATACATAATTGGGGCTGTTCGTTCTTTTTCTCTTGTTAGACTTGGTTATTTTCATTTTTTTTTGCGTATTATTGGAACGATAATGACTATACCATTTGTTGTTGTGTGCGAAATAATTGCAGTATGTTGGGGATTGTTAAGTGATAAAGGAAAATTTTACATTGTTGATAAACAACTTAAACCAGCAGTGACTGTTTAACTGTGTTTTTCTTTGTTTTCTTTTTTTTCTTATTTATCGTCGTTTTGTTTTTGGCAATTACACTATTCAAACTCTGGTCATGCTTTTTTTTGCTTTTTTTTCTATATATCTATGAATGTGTGCTTACGCCAATTTTATGTTTTAGTTCAAAGAATAGATCGGAGAAACATTGCTCTGCGCTCAATACAATCATTGATCATCTATTATCCCTCTCCCTCCTTTTTTTTCTTCTCTATCTCTTCCAATCACTGATACAATGCTCGTTGTGTATTTTTTCTAACTTATATTTCATTCGTGTGAATGTAAACGCAAATAAGATTATTTTATGACATATTTTTCAATGTCTATCATCAAATGGCTAATGATAAACTAGTAGCCAGTCCCCACCTTTTTTTATATATTTGATGCGTCAGATTTTTTTATCTTTGGTCTTCTCTTTCATTTGTCGTTTGATTTTGTATGTGTATGTAGGCGTTATTAAAAAAATAAAAGTAAATCGGACATAATTATGAAATGTACTTTCATCGTGCATTACCCGATTTAGCAGAAAAAGTGAACAGTCTAATAAGTGAATTACATTTTTATCACCTAAAAACTGACATAGCAAAATTTTTTCTGCCAATACTGCTTTCCTGTAGTAGTCGAAGATGAAAAAGATTTGGATTGAGAGAGCCGCATGTTATCAGAGAGAATGTTAGAACGAACCTCAGAGACTGATGCTAGATTTCAAAATAAAGTAGAAGATTTAAAAGTTGTGCTTTGAAACACAAAGCTTTGAGAGAAATCCAATTAGTCGAAGAAAGTAATAGAAAACAGCTACTTAAGAACAAAGTAGATTGCAGCTTCTGAGCTTCTTTTTATTACTACACGCATTGCACTCCGATACACACTTTGTTGACTATCAACTGATAATAAATGCATGCCAAATGCCCGCATTAGAATAGACGCATTTGTTTACTGCAAAATCTAATCCTGTTGTGTGGACGTCTATCATAAGACGCAACAATAAGTTTTTCTTGAAATATTAGAGTTCGTCCAAGAGTAATTTCTTGTTTACTATAAGAAATCATTTTCAGTTCATTTTTCTTTGTTCTTTTTTTAGATTTAAATCAAACATCAATTTGTATTTTATAAATTCATCTGTTTGTTCTGGCCTCAGCATTCGTTAAAGACGAGCAATCATCGTCCTCAGCAAAATCCTCATCGATGAGTTCATCCGAGGAGGTATCATGGATATCATGGTTTTGTGGTTTGCGTGGTAATGAATTTTTTTGTGAAGTTGATGAAGATTATATCCAAGATAAATTTAATTTAACTGGCCTCAATGAACAAGTGCCACATTATCGTCAAGCATTAGACATGATATTGGATTTAGAACCAGATGATGAATTAGATAATCAAGAGAATCCAAATCAATCAGATCTGATTGAACAAGCAGCTGAAATGTTGTACGGTTTAATACATGCACGATATATTTTGACAAATAATGGTTTATCACAAATGTTAGAAAAATTTCAAAATGGCGATTTTGGTTTATGTCCAAGAATTTATTGCGATAATCAGCCAATGCTTCCAGTCAGTTCTTTTTTCTTCCAAACTTAGTACAAATAAATTCAACTTTATATTTTTCATTTTTTATAGATTGGTTTATCTGAGGTGCCTGGTGAAGCCATGGTCAAGTTATATTGTAAGTACCCATGTCATGCTGGGTCATATAGTGGATTTTATCAACTATATTATGTGTTTTATATTCTGTTTTAGGTCCAAAATGTATGGATGTTTATACACCAAAATCGAGCCGTCATCATCATACAGATGGAGCTTATTTCAGTACTGGTTTTCCACATATGCTATTTATGGTACATCCAGAATATCGACCGAAACGACCGACTAATCAATTTGTTGCAAGGTATATTAATGTATACATATAAGATTATGTTTTAGACTATATTTCTCTTATTTTAGATTATATGGTTTTAAAATTCATCAAATGGCCTATCAACTTCAATATCAAGCAGCAGCGAATTTTAAACAAACAACAGCCGTTACCAGACCAATTCAAACGATAATTAAAGACTGAAAATTAGTTAGTTAGTTAGTTAGTTTATTATTTGACAAACAATCATGAGTACACAGCAGCACAAGTTAAACACAGCTAATACAGAAATGACTAGAAGGACATATTCTGCCGCGCACCCATATAACATACTAAAAATAAAAATACAAGGATAAACAAATGAACAGAACAATGACTTATACGTGAACATTTTTTCTCAAAAATCGAATATATACGACTTAACAACGATTGTTTATCTCTCTCCTTTTCTTATGTTTTATGGTCTATTTGTTCAGTTATTTTTTCTTTCTAATCTAGATTTAATCACTAAAAACGTTTTTTACATTATTCTTCATCTTTTCATGTGCTTCTGTGCAGGTGTGTCTTTGCTATTAAATGGGATTCTCTTTTTTTTTGTCTGATACCATCATCTACATGAAATCAAAACAGAAAGTATCTATCATTCAATTATTAGTGATTGAAATTACATATAATCGGTAACTCATCAGTTTTCACCCAAAATATTTTTTCGCGTCAGTTTTTAGTATGTTTCTAAACAATTAGCAGTTGTCAAATGAAACAGAGATCCTACTGGCCAAAAGAATCAGAAATGTTTAGAGCGAAATAATAAAGGGGTTGTCACACTAGAAGACTCGGGTCTTCTAAGCTGTCCTGAGTTTTAAAGTGTGCTACTTGTATTGTGTTCAGAAAAAAGGTTTTCCCAAAATATTGTTTTGTTAGCAGTATAACTGACGTTTTTTCTCGTAAAAATCTTGAAAACAGGGGGAGTCTTCTATTTCAACTATTACACGAAGAGGTCCGGGAGGGTTTTCTATTTAGGGAGAAAGGGCCTTCTGATGTGACAGCCTCTTTACAACTCTTGAAAAAAAATCAATCTATAAACACAAAATTGTTAGCATTGCATCAATGATTCATTTGAATTTGAACTTTGATTATCACAATAAATACAAACGAATGTTGTTTTTTAAAATATAATCAAACATTTGATAAATGACATGATAAACAACTGTTCTATTTTTAAGATAACAAGTGATGTTCATTTATTCCTCCTCAACTGCGACGGAGATGAATCCTACAGACGAATTAGGATAAACGTTTCGAGAAAGAGTCTTATTTAGCATTATTTCGTCAAAAATACAGGATATGTACACATATTTGGAATACATAATCGAGCGTGTAGTTCTCAAACCTCTCTCAGCGAACGAGTTAATCGTATGACCATACAGGTTTTTTTGTTCATCCTAGTGAATCTTCTTGTAACAAAAATTTAGTGACAAATTTTAGGATCTTGAGTGAAAGCTTTTTCTTTTCCGGCAGACTCAGTCCCGTGGCGAGAGCAAAAACAGGACAAAAACAAGCAGGAGAAAAAAGACTCCCCCCTGTCAGAAATCCATTTCTGTTCCAGAACATCCGATCTTGATTTTCACAGAATATGTTCCTTGTGTTTAATATATCACAAAAAATTTGAGCTCGAAGTATTGAATTTTCCCCGAGTTGTCTTGAAATTAAGGGTCAAAAAGTAGGTGTTGCCCAGCTTTCTCCGCCATTTTGTATGCTAGAAAGCTCGGGTAGATCTTAAAATGTAGCCAAGACTTGTCGCTACAACGCAGCAAGGTCGGATTTTTTAATTTATTTTTTCCGAAAGCTGTTTTTAAAAATGTTGGAAAATTACGACTTACTTTTCAAAAAATTTTATTTTTCTCAAAAATTAAACTGAAAATAAAAAAATCCGGCCTTGCTAGCTTGTAACGCTAAGTAGTCGCTTCATTTTAAGACCTTCCCGAGCTTTCTAGCGTGTAAAATGGCGGAGAAATCTGGGCACGAACAGATAAAAATAGGAAAACCCATTTTGAAAAATACGCAAAACAAATTTTGACTTTAGAAATCAAGTTCTTTTTCTTCAGCATGTGGTATAGGAGGAAAATGAGAACAGTTCGTCATAGGTTATTGACTATGGGGAATCGAATGAACACATGCAGAAATACGTGAGGGATACTTTTCTAATGGCTAAAATTTGCAAAAAAGTCGTTTTTTCTGATTTTGAGTGTTTCAGAAAGATCTCGGTAAAACCCTCAAAAACCATCGTAAAACCAACAAACCATAGTGCATTCGAAAGTAGACAGTTAGGGCTATCTAACTAATTATAAATCTCAAAATCGGTATTTTTGACCAAAATTGCCATTTTCTGACAGAGGAGCCTCAAATATTGATAAGGTGGATTACCAAATCTGGCCAAGAGCTCAGGGAAATTTCGAGAGAAAAGAGATTGTTAAAGAGCAGAGGGAGCGTACACCCCCAACACCCTTTCTTTGGCCACGGCACTGGTCAGGCTATCGGTGAGGTTCTTTCACGAATCACTACATTAGTCGAATCTAATCTATTTTCATCTATACCTTTTCCAATTAACAAACGAGTCAGATATGTAATTTTTTGATGTACATTATCGGCATATACGAATTTAGTAGGAATTTCAAAGTTTTTTATAGATGTTTCTGATTAGTAACATGGTTTGTATCAAGTACAGATGGATACTCAGTATCGTTTATTAACATTTGAGTCGAGAGTCTGTCTATAAAAAAGATGGAAAATCAGTAAAAAATTGAAAAGAGAATGTTGTTTGTTTTATCAAAACAGATGTGAAAAATTTTGTCTAAAATGCCATGACATAACAGTTTTGCAAGGAAGTGGACTCATGCATCTAGCACGTTTTTCGAATAACTAGTTCTATGTACCAAAGTATACGAATATTTAATTCACACTTACATGCGAACAAGATTATAAAACAAAATGATAACTCAAGAATTATCAGCAAATCGAGAAATTCCTGATTTTACAATAAACTTGAGTGTGAAAAGAGAGTTTGTAAATGTGTCAATAGTTTACTTTTATTGCAGATCAGATGTACACTCATTTAGTACATACTGTTGCTATCACCCAAGACACGAAATGATCGCCCTTGACTTTCCTAATTATGATTTGTTATTACGTGCAATGATCTTTGTACTTCACATTAAAACTAAAGAGTCGGAGAGGCAAAAGTAAGGCGATACCATAATCATGAAGCAGATTACAGTAATTCAAATGTAGTAAAACTAAGTTCATGTGTTCAAGGCCGTATCATTCGCACAAAACTGAGCTTGTGTCATCGAAAATTTTAGAGTACAACAGTGGATTTATTTCCGCTTGTATCTTCTTTCTTTTCTTCGAAAGTATGATTCCTAGTGAGCCAAGTACTTGGATTAAGTAATGAGGACAGTACTTGTGGACTTTTCTATGTAAATTTGCTAGTCAAGTGCTTGTTCAAACATTTGGCTGACCCACTCAATCGCGTTTTCCTAATGTCAATTACAGACACATTGACAATATTCTCAACATACATATTTGCTTTGATCGAGAGCGACAAAAGATGGCGGTATTCGATTTTCATGCTTTTGCGCATACACTATCTATCGATATATAGTAAAAGAATTACTTCGCTCTTAAACGCGTTTCTAAGGAGTTTCTTTTCTAAGATTCTATTGGATTAGAAATTCAAATAATAACGAAGAAATCGTACAGTCATATAAGAAATTGACATAAGAAATTGATATAAGAAATGATATATAGATGGTCTAATACTGTATATTACATTACATTACTCTCAATATTACAATATTACTCTCACTACGTTTCCGTAGTATTATTAATTACGGTTGACTTGCCGTCTAAATGCGAACTATATGATGATTAATCAGATTCGAAATGTGATTAAGCAAATAGCGATTAGTCATGATAAGCATATGACCAGGTTCAATAATAAAGAGAAAAAGCAGATAATCGATTCTGGATGGTTATCCTAGTATCTTAAGCAAGAATAAGATAACCAATCGTTTAAACTCGTCTCTTATCGTGATTGACTTGGTTGAAATCATATGTATAGGTTTCATCATCTTTTCTGCCATGCGTTAAGAGAAATTGTAAGCCAAGGAATGCACCAAGTAATGCACGAAGAAAGGAGGATGTATCAAATACCTCAACTTTATTTCTTTTTAATGGGTTCTTTTTTTGTTTCTTCTTTTCCATTGGTAGGCACCATTAAGGTTTAACTGTTTTTATTCATTTCTAGATGAACAACAGTAACACATTATTTGATCAGCCTTCTTCGCCTTGTCTTTTGCTAAGCTCATCGTCATTTGCTCCTGGAACAGCATTATCAAATGAAAGTGGACAAACAAGGTAAATAGATTGGCAACAAAAGCTCTTATATTTCATGACCTTCTGTTTTGATTTTTGTGCTTCAGAAAACATTGTTGGGTCTGTTTTGCAACAGAAGATGATGACTTTTCAGCATCGTGGGTGTCACCTTGTCGATGTCGTGGAACAGCGAAATGGATTCATCAGGAATGTTTACAACGTTGGATAGATGAAAAACAACAAGGAAATAGTACAATTAAAGTAGCCTGTCCACAGTGTAATACCGAGTACATTATTGTCTATCCAAAACAGGGTAATTGTGTTTACTTTATGATATAGTTTCTATAAACAGGTCCTGAGATACGTTCTTTTTATTTGTTTGTTTTAGGACCATTAGTTTATACGTTGGATTTAATGGAGCGTATATTGAATCGTTTTTGTCCATTTCTTGCTGGAGGAATACTTGTGGGATCGGTGTATTGGACAGCAGTCACGTATGGTGCTGTCACAATTATGCAGGTCTATATATTTGTTAATTATTTTCTTCTCAAAGTATAGAAAATTGAATACCATGTCTGTAGAAAATATTTTGTGAAGTACCTTAGTTACAGAAATAAAAGACATTTTATTTTAACAATTCTTACTAAATTTCTTCTGTACAGCTTGTATTATTTCGTTCGCGTCTTTTATACCCGAATGCTTTTCATGATTCATGTTAAGTTTATTTGAATAGATTCTTGGTCACAAAGAAGGACTGAGTGTTATGGAAAAAGCTGATCCATTATTTTTGTTGATTGGTCTACCAACAATACCAACAGGGTATGCGGTTTAGTTCATACTCATGTTTGAAAAAGAACCGACTTGATTTGATGATTACTATCATTAATGGTTGAAATCTATTTTAGACTTATTCTGGGACGCATGATTCGTTGGGAAGATGCAGTATTAAAGTTTTGGCGAAAGCATTCGTCGAAATTACCATTAATGCATTATTTATTTCCAGAAGGTAATTAGTCTTCATGATCATTAAAATGTTTATATACAGTCGTCTGCTTTCTTTCTTTAAAGATCGTATATCGTATTTGCCACGATTACCAACCGAAAGAAATCAGAATTCGAATCCAGCTTCTTTAACACGTTTGATATGTGGTGGATTAATTTTGCCTACAATTGCTACAATTATTGGAAAGTTTTTGTTTCAACGTGTACATTCAAACTTTCAACGAACGTTACTGGTATGTAGCAAGAGAATAAATTGTTCTCTTAAAAAACTACTTCATCAACGGAGATAGAAACTTTAAAAACATGTTAGAAAGCCTACGTTTTTTCTAGGGCGGCATAGCGTTTATAGTTACGAAAGGTGTGGCAAAAATTTATTATAAACAATGTCAATATATTCGTGAAGCTCATAGAGAAATATTAAATTATGATACTACTACGACAGCAACAATAATAGAACCATCATCTACTTCTTTACCGCCGACTATTCCATTACCATCAAATGCAATAACCACCACATTTTCAAATCAAGATGCTTCGTCTTCTGACACTCTATCTTCAATTCAATTACCTTATTCTTCTCCTTCTAGTGATATTCCATATGTGACAAACAATTTAAACCAGAGTCATTTTCCTCTGTTATCGACTTCATCTAATAGTAACCATGATCAACATACTATACAACAACAGCCATCCATTTACACTAATTTACCACCTTCCTCCTCCTCCTCTTCTTCTGTACAATCTCCTTCGTCTCAATCATTACTCTCCTAACCTGAATAGGCTTTATCACTAACTGATATCCCATTAAACGAATTAATCAATAGGGGGAATAAAGATTCATGTTCATTTCAATTTTTTATTCTGAAGGTTGTCATATTATTTTTTATTTTTTTGCAAATTTACATTTATTTAGTGTCTTTCACCTTGTCATTTTCTTATCGATGTGTTGAGGGTTTTTTGTGAATTGTACAAAAAAGATTATACAAATAATAAACAAAATGTATCAACAAAATGAAAACAGAAAATTGTTTCTGTTCGATGATGTTGAGCACTAACGTTAGGATGTTTCTTTAAAACACGTACAATTGTCGTTATCTCAATCCCTTCAATCCACTCTCATGTTCAGAGAACAAAAAGTTGAATACAACTGTTCTAGTATTTCAGCTAATGTATTTTCATAATCATCCGCAGTTTTTTTAGAACGATAAATACGACGACAATCTAGAACGCTGATCATTGAATAAGTCGAATAAATGACATGAGAATTGTCTATAGAAATATAATAGTTACGGAAATAATTAATAACAGACCTAATAAAAATCCTTTGTCGTTTAATAATGAATCAAGAATATCCAGAAATAAATTCATATTCATTACATTAGCGATAAAAATCGCCTTATACAATGTCAAGACAACGATCAGTTCGTTTGTACTTTTCCGATCGAGAAATATGTCCTGATCGGGAAACTTTCCCAACAGGAACGATGCTACCACATGAATCATAAGTCGTCTAGAATGCAGGTAGTTTTTATTCTATTTCTTAGCTGTTTGGCATTTACTCTACGCGACAATCTGAACCTCCTCTTAAGTACCACGTCTCAGTATAATGAGACGCTTAAATTTGCCTAAACTCCAAATCCACTGAAACTTTACCAGAATGTTCTTCTACTCACAATACATCTGTACGAGTAGCATAAATTAGCATAAATGATCCTAGACTGAGTTATAGGTTTTCCAGCTAAATACCTCCTTTTTCGGTCAGGTACAAGTAGGAAAGCGGTACCCGTGCACATCTCTACTCTAAAGTAGTTCTATTCAAAACCAATGGCATATCTAGAATCAGCGTGTGAAACTGCGTCAAATGAAAAGACTTTTCTCAAAAAAACGCTGGCAAGGGTCCCCCTCAGGTGTTTTTAACAAAAAATGCTTTAATTTCTTCAATATGATTTTTGGAGTGATATACAACCGCTTCTGAGCAAAAGAAACCCGTTTCGGAGCACGGGAGGACGTAGTGTGAACAAGTTTGTTAGCTTCCTTTTAGATTGCATCAGACAGAGCACATATAAGCCTATCTATTACTATTAAAAATACCTTTTTCTGAATATCTTCATCTTTGAGTTTAACCTTCCGCAATGGAACCATACAAAAAAAGGATGAAATTCCGTCACGAAGGGTATTTTGACATTTTTATTTGACTCGGTAAAAAGTTCCATTTTTTTCCAGTAACCTTTGTATGGCTCAACCAATTCCAATGAAACTTTTTTGGTAGAAGAACTCATGGTTTTCTACTTATGCTAAAAATTTTAGAAGGTTTGCTTTCGCCGTTCGCGAGTTATAAATCACAGAATGCGAAAAAATGAAATTCCGCCATCCCCTATAATGTGCTTCCACTATATCATTGTCCACTCAAATTTTTACAGGAAACTGGCTTCACTGAGAATTACAGAACATATGGACAATTTATCATAGTATTTCAGCACTCTTGTAAGAAGCAGGTCATTCCCAGAGTAATGCAAGTAGAAGTTCTGAAAAACTGGGGTTGCAATACCAAAGTACAATAAAATAGTTTGACAATAAAAAAATAGTGAATACCAATAATAAATAATAAATACAATAAAAAAACTGGTTTACAAGTGAAAATAGAATGATTTTCGAAGATTTTTCTCGAAATTCGATATAAACCTGTTATCCAAAACGTAAGTTTTCTGCTGCATTTTTTAATGCTAAATCGATATCATGGATACTCTCTAATTTCATTAATGATAAAAAATAACACTGCCTAGTGTTTGAAATGGTTTCTAAGAGTTTCTACTTACTTTCATTTATAGTGATTACGGTCTACACATCGAACATGTGTTAATTAACTTGAGCGAGAGAAAAAAAGTATCGTTGTTCTAAATAAAATTACCCCAAATTTTTGTCTCCATTCAACCGGCTGGAGAACCTGGTTCGTCGGATATAAATAATGCCCTCGATAGCGACATACCATCAGATAATGAAGCATAAATTACCAATGAAACGGCAAACAAATGAAGGGTATTTATGACAGAATTTTGATCCTACTAAAATTCAGTTTATGTCTGATGCTTCAATATGCCACGATAATGATGGTAGTTTACAAAAGCAAAGAAAGAAATACCATAAAAAGTTCAATGCGTCACGATCAACGAATGTTAATTACAATCGAATAATGCATCGAGTACATCAATGGTCCACTCATATTTCCGCAATAGTAACTTTATACAACAACCAAATAAATGGACAAAAACGTTTTCCCATTCAGATAGTAATTAAAACGTGGCCAATAGTTCATATACGTACAAACCGACAGTAAACCGCGATCAACAAAATAAACCAAAATATAATTCGAAACGTAGAAACGAAATCTGTTGCCCGAATTAGGAAGGTAATCCTATGATTGGTTCTCCTCAATGTCCATATAAAATAAACTATTGAAAAAATTCTGCTGGGAAAAAATTAATTGAACAAAAATCAGTTACCCGTTACTCTGTCAAATCTACCAATTTTCACAGAACAGTTGGCCTATCTCGTCAGCGATTTTATTTACGTCTAGAATGGTAGCTATTGCTCCATCCAGCAGTACATGTACAAATGCATAAGACTGGAAATTCATCATCAATACGTGGACAGGATTTACAAAGTGGCATGATAACTGATTCAATTCAGTGGGCTATATCCACTAGTGATATATTTTAATCACCGTTTTGTTTTGAATCCCTCCCCTCCTACATATGTTCAGGGTGTTCCACAAGTCACTACTGCATAAAAATTTTTAATAACTTCGTTATTTCTTAACCAAACTTCAACGTTGCTTTTTTGTTTGATAGAAGAATGTTCTAAACTTTATTTCATATATTTGGAAATTTTTGTATAAAAAAAGTCAGTGTGGCGAAATAATAAAACTTACAACACATGTTTTTTTGTAAAGATTGTTGAGCCTATCGTGATTGAACGGAATCTTTGTCAGAGTGGTACTATGTCTTACTCTATAGAACTCCAATTGTTCTACAATGTCACATATTCAAATGTTTTTGTTCAATTTAAACTTTTTTCAAAAGAGATTAATTTCTCGTTACTAAGGTGAGTTACAGATTCCGACTTCTGCAATAGCCTCATACAACCTTTTACAGACTTCCAAACGATTCCGGTTTGTCGAGCTATCTTTTTGTATAAAAAATTCACTAGTAGTTGTTCCCTTTATTACTTAATTTTATTTGGAAAAAAACTTTTATTACTTTTTTTGTACTTTTCTAAATGAGACAACCATGCCTGTAGAAATCCACACCATTCGGTCATTTTTAACAAAAGCAAATAATTATTTTGTTACGTGAAAGGGGAAATCATCTACTTTATTTTTATTTTAAAAATTATCTAAATTCCAAAAATTTTGCAGTACATAATTTATTAGAAAAGCGTTCTAAAAACTTGAATTTCACTACAATAAACCCAAACATTTTTCCAAGTATTAACAAAAATTTTCAAATATATCGAATAAAATTTGGACCATTCCTCTATCAAACAAAAAAGCAATCTTGAAGTTTGGTTAAGAAATGGCGGAATTATTAAAATTTTTTATTCAGTAAGTAGCTTTTGTAATACCTTGTATAAGAATTAATATGTACTACAGAGCATTGAAAATTTTCGAAATTCAACTCAAACATTGTGGGTGAATGCATTGCTCTTTATGCATGTTTACCAGCTCTAGCATCGTTGTAAAATATTCAGTCAGAAGTAGTGAAACAGTAAAAAGTAGTGAAAACACCAAAATATGAAAAAATGGTGAAAAATTAACGTGAAAAATTTTCTACTGAATTCTTAAACCTGTTAAGCTTCGGACTAGTTATTGTAATTAGTGTAAGACTGATTAGTCAGAATCTGCACCACATCTTGAGCAAGCTGTTTATTAAGATTTATGTCATACAGATTCTAATACAAAAATTATGAAAAAGCTTGAACAGCTAGTCACGTTCACAACCTTGAAAGATTTCGATAAATTTACACAAGTTCTTAGTTCTGTGAAGAACTTGTTGAGGAACAAAGTTGAAAAATCTTTAAAAATTTATTAAGATCTGATTTCGAGATTTTTCTTTTAGACCATTCTACACGAATAGATATTTTCCATTGTTCATTTATAGGCGATCCATTCGTCTCAATTTAAAATAGATGAATTAATTTGTTTTCCTCTTGTTTTATCATGCATATATTAGAATACTATGATGTATGTTACAAATCTTATTTTTCAGTAATTATATTTGAAAAATAAGACAACAAAAACTACCAAAAAATTGTACTACTAATCTAAATGAATTACAACGCAAAAATTCGAACTATAATGAAGGAATAAACATACAGAAATAAAAAGTACTAATCACACACAAACACGCATAAAAAATAATCTCAGCGACTTCTTAAATGTTCTTCTATTCTAAAAACTAAATATCACAACAATAATTTGCAAAAAATTATTCAAAAAACGATAATAGGTTTCCAGTAGCCTATTTAATCTACGAATATCTGAGAGGGACGATTATTTATTGATATATGGTGATGGAATGCTAATTCCATGGAAAAAACATTGTTTGCCATAAAACTTTAAACTTTGTCGCTGTTTTCTACTGCTAAATAGCCTTTTTAGTTGGAAAGTAAATAGAAAGAAAGGAGGCTGTTTTTCAGGGAAATGTTATGGGCGTATCAAGAATAGTATTTAATCTAACCGTCGATGGAAATGTGTTTAGAGAATCGTTAAACACACTGGAATAGGTTGTTTTTAGAAAATTAACATAATTTTGCATTGAACGATTTGTATTATGGGATTGTTCTAATTTATCACGTAAATCACTTAACTGTAATGTATTCCGACGTTCAAGCTAAAAACAAAAGGAAAATGCTTACATGGTTTTTAAAAACTTTTCTTTAGGAAGTAATTATAGCAATAATTTAGGTCGTAATCGTAGGTTAAAAACGTATAATTTCTAGTATAGTCCTTTAAGACCCAATGTCCACTGAGATGGACATTAATGGATATCGTTGAATTACTATGGCAAGATGACGACGCGCCAGATAAAAAAACGGATTATTTTTCAGTGTAAGCGGACACCATAAGCTGGCAATTACTAATAAGGAAATATTTTCTCAGTCTGCCTGGACAAAGGTGGAAGAGTTTCAACTTTGCTTTATGAAATTAGCTGTAAAGGTTACGATTTCTCAATCACTGTAGTAGTATCTTACTTCTTCTTTTTCTCGTTTTAACTGTCCAAATTCGAGGCGAAGTTTACTTAGTTGATTATCCAAGTCATGTACGCGTTGTTGTAGCATACGTTCCTAAAAGTTAGACGAATAAGTGCAAAAGACTTCAATAATAACGAAACATTACTTACTTTTGAGCCAAAGGTGTCTCTTATTTCCACCTCTTTGGCTTTAATATCGTTTTGTGTATTATCAAATTGTTTTGTTATTGATGAAAGTTCAAATGTTTTTGAATTTAACCGAGCCTTAAAATAAATATAATAGTAACAAACCGATAAACGATGTTTCAAAAAACTTACTTGTAAATCGCGCACTGTTTCATCTTTAATATTAAGATTTCTGTGAATATTTGTATTTTCTTCTTCAGAAGCACATAGTTGTCTGGAAATGACAGAAAAAAGTTTAAGTGACTTTTGACAAGAAAAATGTCTTACCGTTCAAGTAAATCGATTTTTTGCTGCAACGTTCGATTATCGTCGTCTGAAGAATATGTTTTTTCTTTCATTCTGTCTAATAGACGATATTGTACACTATGCTATAAAAACAGAGTAAGATTGAAGAAAACGTTTTTATTGATATTTGTTGGTCGTCTTACTTTTGATGTTAATTCATTGATATACGACGTTTGTTCATTTATTCGTTTTTCACATTCAATTAGTTTTGTTTGCAATTCTTGATTTTTAAATTCAGCCTGTCTCAACAGTTCGGGTAAAGGTTCGAGTTCTTCAATACGTTTTTGTAGTATAACACGCCTTTTTTCCAATTCCATTTCAGATAAATGATTTTTTGTTAAATTGTTTCGTTCAATTTTTGACGTTGACGTATTCAATTGCTCTTTATAGTCTTTCATCAGTCGCTCACTATGTTCTAATTTTGTTTGCAAACGTGTTATTTCTGTTTCAGCATTAATCAATTTTTCATGAACTTTACCACCGCTCTTAAGATCTATCAATTGTTTTTCTAATTTTTCAATATATTCATCTTTCTCATTCAATTGTGTTTGTAATTTTTCAGTATTTATTACTCGGCGACGATTTACACCAGAAAACATTGGTTTACGTAAATCATTTTTTTTTTCAATTGAACGTTGCAGATTTTCACATTGTGAACGATTTTTATGCAAATCACGTTCGAGCATCTATAAAAAACGAGAGAGATATGCTAGACTTAATCAAGATAATACAATAGTTGATCAACTCACTCGAAGTTGACATTGTAATCGATTTATGTCGCCCTCCTTTGCATGCAGCTCACGCTGCAAATGTGCTCGATTTGTTTCTAACGACGTCTTTATTGTATCGAAACCGATTGTATGTGAATGAAGCTTATCTAAGTCTTGATTCAGTGATATATTATCGTTCTCACGATCTAATAAAAGACGACGTATTTGTCTATTTTCATTTTCAACATAATGGAGACGTGTTAATAGACTTTCTTTTTCTTCATGTAAATGACCATGTTCTGCCTCTAAATGGTACTGATGTTGAAGAAAATCTTTTAGCGATGAATTAGATTTTTCAAATTGTTCAATAAAATTCAACAATTGATTGCGTTGCTTATATAATTGATCAATTTCATATGATACTGGTTGATCATCCTAAAGAGGAAATAAAAAACGTTAAACCTCAGAAAAGTTTGGTTCATGCCCAAACTCTGCACACTTTCATCCAACCGCTTTTGAAGATTCTTTGATCTCAATTTGAAATTAATTAAAAGTGTGCGGAGTTCGGGAAGTAACGAAAAGTTTATGACCATACACAATAGTACGATCTTATGTGAAATAAATGAACTGTTAATCTTAACTTTCTGTGGCGTAGTAGAAAACTTTTTTTACTCAGTGTTTAGTATTACGTCAGCTCAAAAAGATCAATTTCAAACATTATTTAACAATAGTAGAAAATAGCAAAAAAACTCAAAGAAGAAACTTTTTCTTTTTTTCTTTCTGATCAGCCTAAATCGTGTAGACTATCACAAGATTTCAAATTATAGAGATGAAGTTTAACGAAAGAATATCCTGTTCAATACATTTTGTTCCACTCAATAGCAAAGTGTGGTTGAACATATAAAAGTTAAAATTTTAACACTGTTTAATGTATAAAAAGAAAGTGCAAAAAAGAATGTTTTTTTGTTTCAAAAAGAAAACGAACTTTTAAACGTAGTGCATACATAAGAAAAGAAAAAAAAGAGACAGTATATGGATACAGGTGAGTTTCGTTGTCAATAAAGAAGTTAATGCAATATGAATAAAAGGGTTATGTTATGTACAACATCAAGAACAAAACGATATTTTGCATACTTGAAATTTGAGCGTGGATTGTAGAATGGATTGGAAACATGATTTACACAGTAATTAGGAAAAAAAGAATGGAATCTTTCTTTACAGATTGGATATACTGAACGTTCAAAAAGTTTATGCTTAATTTCAAAACTACTATGTTGAGATAATGTTGACTAGAGCTGTATTATGATCGCGTATACGCCAATAGTGAGATTTTTAATTTACACTACAGTGTTGTGACAGTTCAGTGAATACGGCATAATAATTTCTAAACCATCAAAATAACTCTTCGAACTTCCCTCCAGGTGCTAATGAACATAAAAACGGGCTACAACTCGAATTTAATAGAGTTCGAAGGGGTGATTATGATCAGGTCATCAAAATTTCATCGTATTTCTGGCATAACCTGCTCAACATTGACCGAAACGATGACCGGTCAATTCGTCGCGGATAATTCATCGCGGACATTTCGTCGCAGGTCTTCTTGTTGCGGTCATTCTGTTGCAGACAATTTGTCGTCCTTTTATCGTTCAAAAATTATGTTAAAACAAATCGTGCGACAAAAGTGATGCGTATAAATGTCCGTACGACGAAAAGATCGGCGACTAAATGTCCGCGACGAATTGTCTGCGACAAGATGACCTCGACGAAAAGATCTGCGGCAAATTGACCTAGCACCGACCGAAACAAAGCAGTATTTAATAGTTAGGTAGATCTGAGTGTTTCCTATAGAAAGATGTAAAAAAATTTCGGAAGATCATTAGTGTTAATGAATGATAATGAATTTCCTGCGAGCACCTTTTGACTGACCACAACTACCTCAAATCGGTAGTTGAGTATCATTAGTCCATCGACGTGGTCAGCTAACTCTGCTACCACAAGGGAATTCTGTAACGTTTTTTCTTCATTTTGTGGTGTCGATATATACCAAACCGAACTATGCAGAGAGTCGTCAGATGTCTTAAATTGAAGAGGAAAGTTTTGTGAACACTTTAAGATATATCTGCACTCTAGAAAATGCCTCTTTCTGAAGGTCTTAATAAAACATTGAGTACTACTTTTCGATTTTGAAAAATTTGAATTTCTGAAGTAGTACTCAATGTTTTATTAAGACCTTCAGAAAGAGGCATTTTCTAGAGTGCAGATATATCTTAAAATGTTCACAAGACTTTCCTCTTCAATTTAAGATGTATCGCAACTCTCTGCATGATTCTGTTTGGTATATATCGGCATAGCAAAATGAAGAAAAAATACCACTGAATTCCCTTGTGGTAGCAGAGTTAGCAGACCACATTCCATAATTTACACGGAAAAGTTAGAGCTTGAATACCATCGGCTTACAGAGAGCGATTTCATAACAAAACAAATGGAAAAGTTGTAGAGGAGCTCTGTCATATGAACTCATACCTTTATTCTGTTATTTCGTCAGTTAATGATTATATTTATCCTGTTTCCAATGCTGAGTTGAAGTTCATACACATGTATATTTTGTACGGTCAAACATATTTCTCAATGACTTTTAAATAAAGTTGTCTCAGTTCTTTATTCTTTCCTAAAATTGGTCTGAAGTACATCCCAATACCTTGAGGTCATCCAATTAAACGTTACATAATTCGAAAATAAAGTTACGTTTGAAAATTTTTCTTTTACTAAAGAAAAGCAGAAGCATCTGTAGAGTACGAAAAGTTTAACAATTCTTTGATTACACAATAATTAAATGTATCAACTTAATCAGATTGTTAAAAATCAGGTGAAAAAATGTGCTAGAATTTTGCAAAATTCATTATGTTATTGAAGTTGGTGGAAGGATGCGTTTTTGTTCCAGTTTTCAATTCATGTGATAGAGCTCGTCTACAACTTTTCCATTTGTTTTGTTGTGAAATCGCTCTGTAAGCTGATAGTATCCAAATTCTGACTTTTCCGTGTAAATTACACGTACTAACCATAACTACCTCATTTGAGGTAATTATGGTCAGTCGAAAGGTGCTCGCAGAAAATTCATTATTATTCATTAACACTAATGAGCTTCCGAAATTCTTTTTACACCATTCTATAGGAAACACTCAAATCTACCTAACTGTAAATACCGCCTTGTTTTGGTCAAAGTTGAGCAAGTTATGTCAGAAATACGACGAAATTTTGATGACTTGATCATAATCACCGCATCGGACTCGATCTATCTCCACTTCTCTTTCTGAGGCGTGCTGTCAATTAGCGTTGATGTTTCTCATCTTTTACTGTTTTTAATCCTGTTCAATATATCAGAACTGAATACACTTTACGTAGACACCTATTTAATCTTGATCTTAAAAGATGTTTGATTGAATTTAGTTTGTTTATAATAAACTAAATTAAGCTAGCAGACAAAGACCATGACGCAAAGTCAATTGAATCGAAAAAAATTAGTATATTTACATTTTTTTTAAGATTCTACTTGAATACAATAACATTCGATTTTAAGTTTATGATAATATGAAAACTGATAATAAGAAACAGAAGAGGAGAGGGAAATATGTTGTGTTGTAGACTGCAGTGCAAAAGAAAGAGAGTGTATTTATCAGTCACCCACAGCAAATCGATCCGTATGAATTATGCAGTCAATGACAGCTTCGACAATGATTTGAATTTCTTTTAGGCGCTAGGCAAGTTTCCAATAGTAACGTTTTTAATTCAAAAGAAAGATAAGATAGATCTGTTCGAAATACAGAACGCACAGCCCATCTAGCAGTATCAAACAAGGGACATTCCAAAAAGTAGTGAGAAACACTTTCTTTCGTCTCATTGCCACATGAACAGAAAAGATTGGAAACACGATTGTGAACAAACAAATCTACTCACAATTGTGAGAAACCGACTCTGCATCTACAAGAATTGATTTCTGTGTCTCTATTGGGAATGAATGGCAACTTCGGTATTTCGCATGATTGTGATATTCGAGTTTTAAATTTGGCTATACGGAATGTCGTGCGTATATCCAGTAGTAATTCGTTGTAGTCTCTGGCAGTACGAAAGATCATTGAATATGTTAAATATGTCATATGACATATTTAAACGATAGTGTGGAGTAGCTAGCAAGAAGCATTTTCACGACTTCGAAGCGAATAAGAAAAAATGATAGGTAGATCTGATCGCGATGGTAGCAAGGTTTTCAAAAATGAAGGTGTTTTTCCCGTTATTATTTTTTGGAATAAAATCAACCAATGTCACTTAAAACTTACGAACACTCTCTCCATTGAACTATACATCATTGCCCCTGATACCACACGCGCTGCCTTATATTGAGCCGATTCTAATTTGTCAAGATTTTTGTCTATCGTATTTCCGTATATGACTGACGCATAACTGAACAAGTGTAAAACAAATGGCTTATATATTAAGTCTAGCTAATACACGTGTATGGAGTTTTAAAAGGCCAGTTAAACGATTCGCTTCACTTAACGCATAATCTATATGTGCTGCCCAGTCAAGATTAGACTTTAAAATTAAGTCTAGCTGTTTTTGTTCCACAACGTAAGAAATAGTGGAAAAACCATAGCTTTACATTTATCAATATTTAAATATAATTTCCAATTTATAAACCATTCATAAATTAATGACAAGTCTTTATTTATTTGGTCTATAACTTTCCTAATACCATTTTTCTTTGTAATACGGTAGAGTGATGCATCATCAACAAGTCTCATTGTCGAACTAACATTTTCAGCAAGATCATCTGTATAAATCAAAAACAATAATGACGTTAAAACAGAGCCGTGAGGAACGCCTCTGTTAACACATTTTGCTGACGATGTAACACCATCCACCGTTGTTACAATTTCTCTATCGGAAAGATAACTGGTAAACCAATTCACTAAGGACAGTGGTAGTCCTTTAGCTTTTAACTTCATGAAGGACTCTCTTCATGCTACTTTATGCGGTATCAAATGGTTTCCGAAAGTCAAGAAAAACACCGGGAATACGATCACTATTACCAAAAGCTCACAAACAACTATTTATATCATTCGTTCGTTGAAGTTGAACGATCAGAGAAGAGAACAGGGAATATTGGAAAGAATGATTCCATTTCAAGAAGAATGGTTTTCCTTACATATTTATTCTGTGCTTAGAGATTAAAATTGCTCTCAATAATAACAGTCGCACAGATACTGCCACACAGCTGTATTGATTTAGATTTCATTTTTCTTATCATAAAACAAACTGCAAAGTTGTATTAATGCAAAATAAGTTAAAATCATGGTTTTTAAAAGTTTATTTTAATGAATCATATCCTTGTGTACCGTGAACACATTGCAATGTGTCCATGATACACAAGGATATGATTCAGTAAAATAAACTTTTTTCAACTAACACAAGATCAAAGCTTAGGAGTTAGTTTAGGATCAAAATTCAATGTGACAGGCGGTGAGAGTATTAAATGCACTCATAAAGTTAAAAGAATTTCTCAGGTAAAACAAAATTAGCTACATACCACTTTTAATTTGGTGAGGATGTCCTTCAAACTTGAAAGTTGTGCGATAATTGCTGCGATATCAGTTTCCGATGCGGAGAGAGCAACTAACAATCGCTCTCTTTCGGGATTGAGCCGAAGTGGACCTCTTGTTGGCGTTGTACTCTTTCTGAAATGATAAGTGAAGAATAAGCAAATTGTGAAGCTTCAATTGGATAAAATGTCTTATACCTAGAAAAATTTTCCGTGTCTTCGAATGATACTTTTGGCGTTAAACGTCGTTTTTGATCGGCACTCCATGATCTTGATTGTTGCGTATTATTGTTATTCGTGTTCAACGGACTTTTTGTTCTAATCGGTGATTGCGAGGATGACCGTGACCTTGTAACTCTATTTGTTCTATTAGAAAAGGGCTCAGTTGTTTCTTGATTAACATTGTCAAAAGGAGCAACAGAATTTGACGAATAACTTGGTACCGTTGTTGTTTGACTTTGCATAGATGCCACCCTTTGAGCATACTGTTTTTGTAATTGTTCAAGTTCAACTAATGATGAACCAATTTCAGAACGGAGATTATCGGCTTGAGATTGATTTCCTTTCAGTTGAGCCTAAACAGCCATAGAAACAAATACAAACGCCTACAAAGACCAAGATAGATCCTTGGCAAAATTATAAAGATAGACCCGGTCATTTCACAGTTAGGGATGTTCGGTTCTCGGTTTCGGTTCTCGAGTTAGAACCAAAACGAAAGAAACCGCCGTTCCGGTTCCGAACCTAGAACAGAACCGTAGTTCTCGGTTCTCAGCTTAGAACCGGAAAATAATTTTTGAAGTAATTCAAGGAAATAGAATTCATTCCATAGTAAACAAAAGGATTCTTTCAAATGGTGACAGGCAAATATATTTTTTTGTAGCTTTGTCAATAGTGTGTTTTCATCTTGTTAAAGGAAAGGCAAGTCAAAAAGTCTCGGTTTCGAAAAAAAGGAACCGTCTAAGAAACCGCGGTTCCGGTTCTCGATGAAGAATCAGAAATAAGAGAATCGAGGTTCGGTTCCATTGTCAGAACCGGTAGCGCGGTTCCGATTCTTGATGAAGAACCGTGGTTTCGGTTCCTCATGCGGAACCGAACCGCGGTTCCGGTTCTTCACAAGAACCGAGAATCGAACAACCCTAGTCACAGCCTAATGAAGTGAGCATCAGAAAAAAACCTTTCTGTTCGATCGAAGAAATATAAATCTATTGCATACTTTTTCTTTCAGCATGCCAATATTTTCGATTAATGTTTGTATTCGTTTTTCATATGTTTTTATTTCAGTTGCTAGCTGTTCTTGTTGTTCAGCGGAAACTCTTGAGGCACTTATTGTCCGTTGAGGACGTTCACTCTCTTGATAATCTTCATTATCTGTGTCGTCGTTAATTGTAATTTCTGTTACTGGATTGATCTCTAAACGGGATTTTGGACTCTCAAAATAAAAAACAGAAACACACATTCACAGATCGATTAAACGAGACTTTATGTGTGACTTACCTGCCAGGCAAATCTCTGGCCTTTTGTTGTTCTTCCAGGAGCTGAAAGAAAGTGAAAACGTCGATGACTTTTTTGGCCATATAAGCTACACATTTGCAAGGAACATACGAGGAATCCACGGTTCTCGGCTTGGGCTTGGACTTCGTGAACGAGTTTTCTGTGTTTGCTTTGGTACGATAGTCACGCTACTTTTTGTTTTTGTTTTGTTGGTTACACATGTTCTCATTCTTGTTCGAGGTGTATGACGACGATCAGACTATAAAAACAAAAACAGCTGACCTTGTTAATAAACGTAGTTTGAGGCTAAAAGCAAAAATATTTACTTTTCCCTCATCTTGCCACTCATTCTCAACGTGAACATGTACGGGTAACACAGCTTGCATCCTCTGAAAGATAAACGACCTATTACTTGAGGTGGTGCTTATCGATATACTGACTATTACTACTTCCATTAGTCAGTATGTATTAAATACAAAAGCATGATAGTCAAAGTTTGCAAGAGAGATTCCCTTTTATTTTCTTTTAGAGAGTATGTGCGTGGTAACGAGAATAACATGAAGTTTTGGCATGTTGTTGTATAGTTTGTTAGCTTTCGGTTCGTGAAAATTATTTTCTAACTTTCAGAAAAAGTTTGGATATGAGTTTTCTAGACTTTCTCTATATACAACTCAAACAAAAAGAAACCTTAAATTTTGATGTGCAGAGAAGCCATCAACGGTATTCTATACCTTAGCATTGTTCGGAGTACTCCCAATGTTTCGAAGAAACCAATACAAAACAATATGAGTAAAGAACTTGATTCCTACATCACACTTTAGAAGAAAAGTGTAATTGGGTGTAGATTTAGTATCTACATTGAATTCAAGGTTCATGCATGTAAAATGACTTAGGGCGACATCTACAGAGTTTGTGCGTATTGAAAATGAAGCGATCTGTATTACATTACTGTGAGCGAACGGAAAGAGGAATTTACGGCAATCTATCGAATATTCACTAGACTCTTATTCCAATTTATACTTTTATAAAGAATTTAGCCTTCCTCAATTTCAATTTATTGCTAATGCCTCTTTTGAACAAATCGACTAGAATACAATTCGAAAAAAGGGAGTGACCTAATTCACCAGCGTGCAGATTATTCAAAAGTATCATAAAAACACAGCCTTAGTCGAGACTCCCGGCCAAAGTCCCAGTAAAATCCCGAAAAATCTAAACAAAATTGAAAAATGTCCCGCGAGAATCCCGGCAGGATCCCGTGACGGGAGTCCCTAAAAATCGTAGACAGCTCGGAAATGTCTTAAATTAAATTTTCAACTCTTTTCTGCATTTTGAGATCTCTTGGGACTCTAGAAAATCTCTCCTCAAAAAGTTATGATTAAAACGCCGCTAGCTATATTTCGATTTATGGTTTGGAAAAGTGGATCTCGCCGTTTTAATCAAAACTTTTTCAGGTTACATTTTCTAGAATCCGAATCTCAAAATGCAGAAAAGAGTTGAATATTTAATTTAAGACGTTTCCGAGCTGTCTATGATTCCACTATGTTTTACTCGGACTTTTCTTCGAGAACATAGTGCAATCAAATTTTAATGCGTTAGTCGAGCAAACAATGCTTTTGTCATGTTATAATCTCATCTGAAAAGGCAAAATAAGTATGAATTAGAGAGTCAGGTAGTAAATTTAGAGGATGTACACAGCAAATTCAGCTCTCAGTTCCCTTACCTAAATAGGTCTCATTTTCGCTAGTCGCAAAGTTACACTATCGGATTTTTGGACAAGTTTTCTTTTGAGACACATCTCTTTCACGGATTAACTAAGCTCATATATGTCACAAAGAAGAAAGAAAAACAACTTTTGACATAAAAGGGTCTCTTAAAAGGAATGTTTTTTAAGATAGCTGAGACACTAATTTCATCATGTTTTACCCGGTTTTCTCTTCGGGAACATAATGCAATCAGGGTCAATCATTCACCTCAGACTCACTTTGAAGTTGAGATCAAAACTTGTACATAATCGTCTTATTAACACGCCCTCTCTTTGTCTAAATCCGTCCTAGAGAATGGACTTCCAGAGAATGTATATCCGTAGATATTATCGCTAGGATCAGTTAGCTATTAGATCCAATCTAATATTCTGTGAATGAGGCGGAATGGCTGAGCCCCAATCCTCCGTGCGTCAAACAGAACCGAACTGATCATTGCTACATCCTGACAGTCACTAACGGCAAAGTGATATTACACCGAGGATACTCACAATTGTTATAGCATCAATCTTTCATGCATTTCTCACTTCTGTGCAGTGTTATTTTTGAGATCTTTACACAGCAAACATTAACTGAGTCTATACACTAAGAAATCTCCTAGATTCACGAGAAAGAACGATTTTTGATACCCAAAATGAATGAAAGACTGCAACTGTGTGCGCATATATATCTTACAGTCCAGATTAGAATTCAGGTCGCAGGTCGATATTACGTCGCAGTCAATATTGTCACTATTTATTTGACGATCTCACTGTTTTCTTTGTTATTGATGAACTATTATTATTCATATTCATCAAATCATTCATATTGCCACTGCTTGAATAATCATTGTATTCCCACCTTCATCTGTTGCTAGTGTTGTTGTCTTATTATTATTCATAATATTCAATGTTTTTCTCGCTGTGACTAATCTCGAAACCACTTGCGGATTCACTGTTTTATTTACGGTCGTAGAGAGAACTTCTGGCAGGTGTTGTTCAATATTCGATAATCAATTATTCAGTGAAATGATTTCATCTTTAACTATTAGGACTAACCTTTTCGACCAATATGAAGTGCCCAGGTCAAAGAATCCTATAATAGGATCATATGGGATCTTGTAAGGTCCTATTAGATCCTAAAATATGATCTTGTCTGAGCTTATATGATCCTATGAAATCATAAAGACTTATGTTCTTCTGTACAATTGCAATTAGGCTCTACTCTGTGACTGGGTTAGGTTCTTCTTCTACTCTCTGACGACTCCTAGTTCGATACAATTGATTATAAACAAAAAAAGAACTCTGACAATATTTACACAGATTATATTTCCAATGCTGAAATACACATGTGTATGAACGTCAGAACTCTGATTCTGATTTTTATTTCGACCAAAAATGAAAAAAAAAGAAACGAAAAACTAACAATAAACCAGAAAAAGTCCTACTGACTAGACAAACAACTGAGAACAACAAGAGGCATACAATTATAGTTGGAGGTGATTCATCAAGTTATTTTTAAATTTATTCATCTTTAGTGAGGTGAATGAATGAGAGTCGTTTTCATCATTGGTTCTATGTTTTAAACTAAGTAATTTGATTAATATCTAGTGGCAAAAGTGTTTCAACTGACGTATGAAAGTGGTATGTGCAGATAGAAGTGTCCAAGTATTTTTTGCTGGAAGCTGAATACCCTCATACCAAAAACCAGATTTAATTTGACTAAAAGTGCTTCTGTAGAATTAAGGTTACAATAAATACATGGACTGGATCGAGATGTTACATAGTCTTATTCAGCAGATTTGAATAGAAATGGAAATGGAATGCACACTTGGAAAAAAGTAACTCTTATGCCAATTTTTGAAGCGTCAGAACGTCCTCCAGAACACACATGTCATATTAATTGATTGAGACCTGCCGCAGTTTCGACAAAGAGACTAGTAAGAGAATCTTAAAATCTGGAAGTAGGCATCACGCTGACGAGGGAACCTTTCGAGATGTAACCTTCCGATTCCAATGGTTTGTACATGGATCGATAGACCTCAGTGAGCTAGTAAATACCCTAAAAGAGTTAGTCCCCATGGCTCCTGAAGATTCGGTTTTCTGAAAAACCTTATATCAGCTAAAAGCGGGCAACTGTTGAGAAACAACTCTAACAGAATATTACAGGAGTCAGAAACTGACTGCATGACACAGCCAGGAAGCATGTGTCCTTCTCGTAGTTTGAGAAGCATAGCAACGAACGACCTTCGAATGTGATCATAAAGATCTTTTTGCTCACTCTGTTCTTTGGTGACACTGCTATCCCTCTCAAACTCTGCTGATTCAACGACAGCGTTGTCATCGGTTAAACTAAGCTGTGACGTGTGTGTGACCAGGGTTTGAACATCAGTCAGGATTTCTTCTGTTACTTTAACTCTTTCCTGTGCTGGGTGTTTTTTCAAAAAGTGCCGCTGGAAAGACTGCATGTTTGTAAACAAGAAATTGATGTCACACAGAGGCCATAGAGTTTTGAAACTGCGGCTAGAACCGTGACACAGTCGCACATGCCTAAGAAATGCATCAGTTCCGTGAACACGGCTATCACAGAGTGTACAGTTATTCACAGACATTCTCAAAACGAACAAAGAAAAAGTCACAAAAACACTTCTAACTTAACAGTTCTGTGGGAATTCATTAACCATTGTAACCGCCATTTCTTTAACTTGTATAATATTTTACTAATGTTTCAATCTGATTTAATAGTAAAATATTTTCAGGATAATTTCCTGATAGTTCACCCAAATAAGATTGGATAGGTGCTTGATTGAATACACCAGAAGAAAACAAATGAGAATGCAGGCTAGATAGTAAAATAAACTTTACGTGTCAATGCGCCAATAACTTACCTAAATGATGATCTTAGATCTAAAACATGAATACTACTAAACAAAATGTACAGATTATAATCTAAAATCAGAAGAATAGACATTAGAATGATAAGTTAGGTTACACACGGAATTGTAAATAGTCTAAATAAGTTATCAAACAGAGTTCTCATTTGTTAATTGCAAAAGGTGTCTTCTCCGTCAGCGTCAAACCAGAGAAATAAAAGAAAAACTCAGCAATTCAACTTCGATTTATTTCTTTTTTTCCTGAAAATGATTACACAAACAAACAACAGCGTGCTTTACACCTGCACGATTCAAATGGAGACCATCCTTTTGTAAATGTTTTTTTGTAATTTGTAAATCTAATAAATCGACATTGAATTGGCTGCTTTTTCTCAACTTCTCTAGCTCGCTGTTGTATAATTTAATTCTTTTTTGGATGTTTTTTCCGCCGTCATCTCCGTTTGAGCGGAAATAGATATTATCCTTACGTCGGTAAGGCAGTTTGACGGGAGTCAGGGATATCGACGGATAGTCTCTATGAATATGATCTAATAGTTTTACCATCTCTTTTATCGCCAAATGTGAATTTTTCCTAGTGTGTTAGTTCCGATTGAAATGTAGACCGCTTGTTGATTTTGCATCCATGAACGTTTTCTTTTTTCATAGATTTTCAGCAAACGTTCAATCGTACATCCGCTGAATGATTTAACAACATTCTCTACATTTTCTTCTGCTGGCAAATCGCGCGCTTCAATGTGTTTGATGAGACTGCTTC